CAGGTGTCCCCGAAGGTGTTTGTTGGGTTGGCATAGACCGAGATTAGGATTTGTCACTCCGAGTATCGGAGAGGTATCTCTGGGCCTTCTCGGTAATGCACATCACAATAAGCCTTGCAAGCAATGTGACTAATGAGTTAGTTGCGGGATGATGCAATATGGAACGAGTAAAGAGACTTGCCGGTAACGAGATTGAACTAGGTATGAAGATACCGACGATCGAATCTCAGCCAAGTAACATACCGATGACAAAGGGAATGACATATGTTGTCATTGCGGTTTGACTGATAAAGATCTTCGTAGAATATGTAGGAACCAATATGAGCATCTAGGTTCCACTATTGGTTATTGATCGGAGATGTGTCTTGGTCATGTCTACATAGTTCTCGAACCCGTAGGGTCCGCACGCTTAACATTTGATGACGATTTGTATTATGAGTTATGTGTTTTGGTGACCGAAGATTGTTCGGAGTCCCAGATGAGATCACATGACGAGGAGTCTCGAAATGGTCGAGAGGTAAAGATTGATATATTGGACGATGGTATTCGGACACCGGAATGGTTTCGAGGCGCTTCGGGTACTTTTCGGAGTACCAAGGGGTTACCGGAACCCCCCAGGGAAAGTAATGGGCCTTATGGGCCATAGGGGAGAGAGAAGGTAGCCCACAAGGGGTGGCCGCCCCCCGCCCCCCATGGGAGTCCGAATTGGACAGGAGGAGGGGGCGCCCCCCTTCCTTCTCCTCCTCCCTCTCCCTTCCCCTTTCCCCCTTCGTAAGAAAGGAAGGGGGGCCGAATAGGACTTGGAGTCCTTTTCGGTTTCCCCCCATGGTGCGCCCCCTAGGGCCGGTGGCCTCCTCCCCTCCTCCTTTATATACGGGGGCAGGGGGCACCCCAAAGCACAACAATTGTTCTCTTAGCCGTGTGCGGTGCCCCCCTCCGCAGTTTACTCCTCCGGTCATAGCATCGTAGTGCTTAGGCAAAGCCCTGCACGGATCACATCACCATCACCGTCACCACGCCGTCGTGCTGATGAAACTCTCCATCGACACTTTGCTGGATCAAGAGTTCGAGGGACGTCATCGAGATGAACGTGTGCTGAACTCGGAGGTGTCGTACGTTCGGTACTTGATCGGTTGGATCGCGAAGACGTTCGACTACGTCAACCGCGCTAACCTAACGCTTTCGCTTTCGGTCTACGAGGGTACATGGACACACTCTCCCCCTCTCATTGCTATGCATTTCCTAGATAGATGTGGCGTGATCGTAGGATTTTTTTGAAATTGCATGCTACATTCCCCAACAGTGGGGTCCTATCATAGCATGGATATGCGTCCGTTGCTTGGAGATGGACTCGCGTAGGTGGAGGTCGTCGGTTGCCGTCATGGTGGCGTCGATGGCAGAGGCACCTGCCCAGGTTGACACCTCAATCTACTCTGAAGATGGACAAGTGGAAGATGGCGGCAACAACACATGTGAGTGCGTCGGACCGGTTTCTGCCCTGGACCCGCTATGTGGCTCGGTCGGGGCCTCCGGCTTTTGATATTAGGCTTAGGTGAGAGGTCTGGGTATTTGGCCCAGCTTGCACCCCTTCATCATATGGATTGGAGTAGCGGTAGATGTTGCCAAGATGGCGGATTCAGGCATATTGTTGTACTACTTTCTAAGGTCCTCGAGAATAATCAATAAAATGGCCGCATGCATCTTCCAGATGCAGAGGCCGAGGGTCATCCTCCTTTTCTAAAAAAAGCTTCTAGCTGGGGAGGTGGCATTATTTGGATGTGCTCATAATTTACACTTTGTTGTGTGCCCAGGAGTAAGCACTCTCTCTGTGCCTGACAAAGTTGAGCCAATATAATCACCAAATTCCTTATGGGACACACCTTCTTCATTGACTGCAAACACTACAGGGGGATCAATGGTGTATTCTTCATCAAATATCTCTAACGGGGGTGCCTTTCTCTTGCCCTTCTTTGCTGGAGAGACAACAATTGCTTGTTGCCTCTTGCCCTTAGTAACTGACAATGTGATCCTCTTGATGTCCTGGTATTGCCTCAGCTTTTTATCCATCTTAATCTGATTGTCCAGAAGTTTAAAACCATCCAATCCGGTCCCATCACTATTCATGTAAAACATGTAGTCTGTAAAACTGTAGCCATTCTCAAGCAGCACAGACATAAGATTGTAATATCTTATGTCTTTCCTAAACATCTTAGTCCTGATGAATTTTATCCCTTCAAACTCAATATGAATGTCTCACTCCTGATAGTTCAACCTACAATACCAATTAAAAGTACATGTAAATATAATCTAAATTTGTAGAACACATACTAGAACCACACTCAGAAAATAACTACACTGTAGTTTGTCATCTGTAATTTAACAGTAATCCTAAATGAGAAGGGAAAACTTTGTTTTTGCCACTCTAACTTTTGCCAATTTTGCTTATGCCACTCTAAATTTGACATCTCACTTTTGCCACTCTTTGCTTTTGACAATACATCACAAATGCCATTCCATGGCAAAATCGATAATTTTTTATTTCACTTTTGCCACTCTTAGCTTTTGACAATGTATCACAATTGCCACTCTGAAAATTTTGCTTTTGCCACTGAATGGCAAAAGTGATATATTATCAAAAGCCAAGGGTGGCAAAAGTGAAATGTCAAATTCTACAGTGGCATAAGCAAAATTGGCAAAAACTAGAGTGGCAAAAACAAAGTTTTCCCAAATGGGAACTACATTCAGATGCTATATAACCCCTAATATGTAGGTTGTCATCTGTACACAAACCCTAATCAGAACTACATGCAGAGGCTTGAAACCCTAAATCAACCTAAATGATAACTACATTCAGAGCATAAATTAAACAAAAAAAGCGCATGAATTAAATCAAAGAGAATAACCACAGAGAGGTTGTAAGTTGGGGCCTCGCCGTCGGCGTTGGTAGGGAGGACTGGTGCAGCCGCCGGTGCCCGCGCCGCCACCGCCGCACACGCCTTGTGCACACGGCACAGAGATGATGGCTCATCCCTGTCGGATTGGCCTTCCGCGCCTTCATCTTCAATGGATCTGGAGCCACCCGTTGCAGCTGGTGCCGCCGCCGCCGCCTCCGCACATGCCCTGTGCATGCAGCACAGCAAGAGCGGGCCGTTCTCATCTGACGAAGACGAAGACGACCCGAAGTCAACGTCAAGAAGGTTCCGCCTGCGACCCCGGCCAGATCTGGAACTGTCGTCGCAACCACCCTCAACATCACCGGAGGGAACGGTCGCCATGGTTTTGCGTGCAAGATAGGAAATGAAGGGGAATAAGAGCGAGAGAAAGTGAAGAGTGCGAGGCAGTGAGCTAAACAAGCGGTGGTAACGGCCGTCTGGCATCAGCCGTTTGCCCTGGCCATGTGGTTCCGATGGGTAGGCCTGAAATGTTAGATTTTCATCTAGTCGCGGCTCACAACCCGTTTAGTGCATTTTGTTATTCACGTGTCACAGAAATAATGGTCTTTCATGATTTTTGACATAAACGATAGTGTTGCAGTACCTTAGTTATAAATGTGGTGGTTTTCAGCAAATTTACTACTCGTGCTTTTTTTTTTTTGCGGGTGTACTCGTGCTGCCCATGCTAAAAGATTGTGCAGTGGTGGCAGTGCTTCACGTGCATGCTTCACTGGTCCATGCGTGCTCGAGCTCGAAGGATGTCTACACCGTAATCTGCAGATGATTACCCTAAAGCGCTCTGAAATACAACTATTTATCCCAAAGCTTTCATGGGAGGAAGCGTTAACCGGGCACGAAAGCGCAGGTACAGGTGCAGTGTAGGTACACGCGTGCACCTGTCAGTAATCGATCGATGCGCCTTCCGTCTCTGCCACGTTTTCCGCTTTCCCGGTTTCCCTGCCGTTGCTTTGCCCGGTTCTCGATGTCGTGAGATAAGGATGGTGACTGTGTAGGGGCCCGGTCGGGGCCGGGATTTGCATGGAATCTACCCACCCTGCTTCTTCCTTCCGGCAAGAGACAACGACGAACGGCGGCGGCGGCCGCCGCTGGTTTCACGGTGCGACGGGGCTGCTGCCGCTTGCAGTAAAATACGTCCTTATTATGAGCTAAGAGCGTCTCCAGTCGAGGCCTTCAAATCTTCATACATTGATCTAGGAACAAATAAGAGGCCAGATTAACCCAGCTGAGTTGAAGATGCTTTAAAACATTAAAAATTATTGATATATAATGTGCTTTCTTTCATCAGATCGATTTTTTGATTGCATTAATTATAAAACACAATTTTATATAGTATCAAAAGAGGTCGAGCCATAGGGTGTTACGTATAACATGCTGTCTAGTTGGTCTTTTGGTTGCATTGACTATAGCATACACTGTCTAGTCTCTTTCATCAGAGTCATGCACTTCTAAAAATAGACAGCGGCTGATGATTCTGTCTTGTGCATAGTTCTCAGTTCTCGCTGCCGGAGATATTAATCTTGGTTCCACACGAGGAAAGGGAGGGCATGTGCGGCCATGCACGAATGTTTACATCATTTAGATTTATCTCAGCTCTCTCTTGGGCTTCACATTGACAACCTCTGTTTGTTCCTCTTCCTAGATCACATTTTACATCATTTAGATTCATCCATCACGAGGAGAGTGAGGGCATGTGCGGCCATGCACGAATGTTTCTCCCCTTAGCGTGGATGCACATTGAATCTTTCGATAGATAGCAAGCAAAAAAAAAAAAACAGCAGTTCCATGACCCAGCCAAATTTTAAAGTAGATTCAAACTAGAACACACACAACACACCAAGGACGGACACAGAGCTGACGACATGCAGTTCATTGCACGACAATGAAACATCTCTAGTCACACATTCACCACGCACCTACTAATTGAACAGCAAATCGACGACACGACACGACAATAGCTCGTTGGAGCAGATGATTAACTAACTAGCAGCTGCAATACGACTAGGATCACCGAGCTACAAACTTATTAAACACACCCATCAGCTGGATCTAGGGGTTGTAGAAGACGATCTTGATCTCGTCGACGCCGTGGCACTTGCCGCCGGGGACGGAGTGCTCGAAGCAGTGGCCGCCGCTGTTGCAGCCGGCGGTGGGGCAGTGGTCTTTCAGGGGGTGGCCGTGGGGGGTGATGGAGACACGGATGGGCATGTGCGACTGGGCGGTGCTCACCTGGTACCACGCCCCGCCGTCGTACCCGATGTGGAACTCCGTCACCACGGCGTCCTGCACCTTCACGCGCCCCGTCCACGAGCACACGTCGTACGACACGTGGGTGCCGTGGCGGAGCAGGAAGCCAGGGCTGTAGAGGAGCTTGCTGTTGGCCAGCGGCTCGATACCGAGGTAGAGGTCCTTGCCGCACAGGTTCTGCACCGTCACCTTGCGGCTCGGCTTGCAGTTTTGGGGATCCTGACCGGCGGCGGACATGGCAGTCGCTGCCAGCGCCACGGCGAGGAGGAGAGCCGCCAGGGGCTTGGAGAACGCCATTGGCTGCTTGGAGTGTTACTCGCTGGTTAGGAGTGAAGAGGAGTGACTGATGCCGGTGGTTTGAGTTGTGGTTTAAGGGTCACTGTGACGGGTATTTATAGGCCCAGGGAAGGTTCCCACTCAAAGAAAAAATAACTCAGCGAAGGCTTGGCACGAAGGTTCGAGATTGTTGCGGCGTCTGCTAGCGCTCCTCCCTCCGAATCGAGATATGATTTTTTTCAAGCTTAACATAGTTTGGAAAAAAAATTGTGGGACGTAGGGAATAGTTATTCTATCATAAAAACATGGGATTTTTTTAGCGCTACTCCCTCCGTCTCAAGATACGATTTAAAAAAAACTTCCAATTTTTTTAAGGTAAAGAGTTTATTCCACTATGCACGGTCATCCACGATCTAGCCATACATCAGTCGCATTCTCAATATGACTATACAAAGCCAACCTATTTATTCATCTTCAATCATGGTAATATAACAAACACTAAAAATAATAAAAATTACATTCAGATCCGCAGAGCACCTAACAACGACTACATGCACTAACATTATTTTAAAAAGATTTTATATTATAGGGTGTACAGAATTGTTATTCTACATATGAATAAACACTAAAAAAAGATATACCCTTTGCTTTCTGGGTGTACATACACCTCTTATGCCTTGTTTTTATAATCAAAAAAAGTTAGAACCGTTTGGAAGTTTATTTTACAATAAACTTGACTTTCGTTTGCACTAATATATATATTTTCACGAATAGATAACCAACGTCGACTTCAGGGCAAAAACAAGACAAAAACTATTTGCTATTATAGGTCACTAATCACTCTATTTTGATCGATTCTTGTCTTTTTTGAAAAGAAATCAAAGAAATTTTTTCTTTCTGTGAATTTTTTTACTAGTATAATGAAGTTCAAGTTTATTTAAAAATATTATCAAAATTTATTGATTTTTTATTTAATTACTATTTTTTTCATATAGAGTGTATATACAACCATTGACCAAAAGTTCCCCTCCCTAAAAAAGTGATTAAATTGGTTGTGTCGGAGAGCGGGTGGGTATATCTTCGATGGATCTTGCGGGATTTGGTAGTATTTGTTTTTGACGAATCTGCGTGGATCCAGTCTTCATCCGTTTGTGTTCATGTGTCAAAAGATTGGATCATTTTTATCTATGCTTTTCTTCATTGATGGCGGTTGTTGTTCTAGTGTACTGATCTTTTAATACTAGCACGGCAAGTCTCAACTCTCCACTATAAGATCATCTCTAATAGATAATGTAGATGTGTAAATAACTATTTTTTACATCTCTGCCGAGGCCCAAAAACATTGCTCCAACACATGTTGTAGATGTATAAATTTTTACATCACCTGAAAGAGGTGATGTAAAATACAACACATGAAAATGCAAATTTACATCTTCAACCGCCTCAGATGTAAAACCAGATGTAAAACGGTCGGCCGCACGTAAACTCCAACCACCCAAAAATTTCTCATCCCCCACCCCCGATCGGCTACTTACCTTGATCCGCCACCGCGTCGTCGGCCCGGAGCTGGCAGATCCGGCCTCCCCATCCCTGCTGCCCGCCGGATCTACCGCCACTCCGCCGCCAAACGCCACTAAATGACCCCAAATTTCCGATGTTTCACTCTCCGCCACCGCCGCCCGCCGCATCATTTGAAGCTTGCATGCGCCCTGCCGCTCGTCTCCAAGCTCGCTAATTAGACAAAATCTATACCTTAATCATGACCAATCCTCACATACCTACTAACAAATCTCCAGTAATTATGACAAATCCTCGCATACTTACTGATAAAGGTGCTTCTGATTTCATCATATATTACTTACCTCCGTACCAAATCCTATTTTATCCCTCGCAAAATAACATAGCTTTGCAGATTCGGGACTATTGGCAACAGCCATTGGCCGTCTATCTTCTTCCCAGTTCCCAGATACAAGATTCTAGGCTTTGAGCAATGCAAAATTGGCAACAAGTTTTTAATTGGAATTCACCTTTTTATGTGGAAATTTAATTGGAATTTTCTGTTAGACGGGATAATTAATGATGCAAATCAATTAGGAAGCTTTAATCATTTTAGTAGCTGCAACGCCATGCAGATTATTTGAAAGGTAATCATGTGTCATCCGTGGGTATGTACATGCAAGAAATATATGAAAACACTACAAAATCTTAATCCATGTGTTAACGGGTAAAATCCAACAATCTGTCTAGCCATCTGAATATCAGAATGATGGAAGAATTCAACGTTATCAAGGCAAGATGTCTGGTGAAAGATTGTAGATGTCGCCTAGAGTAGGATGAATAGGCGCTTTAAAATAATTACGGTTTAGGCTTGAATAAATACAAAATAAAACTAGGATTTAATTTATCAAGCACAAAACCTAAAATAATTAGGCTCATCTATGTGCACCAACAACTTATACTAAACAAGATAAACAACTAAGTGATAGAAAAATATATATCATGAAGCGCTAAGGCTATCACAAAGTAAAGTGCATAATAAAGGGGCCGGCTAACAGATAACCCGAAGGCTAGCACGCAGAGACGACGATGTATCCCAAAGTTCACACCCTTGCGGATGCTAATCTCTATTTGGAGTGGTGTGGAGGCACAATACTCTTCAAAATGTCACTAGGCCATCGCAATCTTCTCACACCCTCGCACAATACAAGATGTCATGATTTCACTAAGGGACCCATGGGGGCGATCACCGAACATGTATAATTGGCAACCCTTGGGGGCGGTCATCGAACTCGTACACTTTGGCAACCCTTGGGGGTGGTCACCGAAACCCCTACCAATTGCTCGGGGCAATCTCCATAATCTAATTGGAGACCCCGATGCTTGCCCTGAGCTTTAAACCATAATGATTGAACTCTGAGACACCACCAACCATCTAGGGCACCCAAGCACCCAAGAGGAACAAGCTCTAGGGTACCAAGCACCCAAGAGTAATAAACTTCTCAACTTTTCACTTCCACATATCACCATGAAGAACTCAAATCGATGCAACTAATGCAATGGTAAGAACACACGAAGTGTTCAAGTCCCTCACTCCTAAATCCCACCACAACAACAAAAGCTATGAGAAATATGAGAGAAAGAACAAGGAGAACACCAAGAACTTCAATATCTAGATCCAAGGGGTTCCCCTCACATAGAGGAGAAAGTGATTGGTGGAAACGTAGATCTAGATCTCCTCTCTCTTTTCCCTGAAGAACCAGTAAGAATGATTGGAGGGATTGCGAGTTAGCAAGCTCGAAGAAGGTCAAGAATGGGGGAAGAACACGAGCTCAAGCGGTAAGTTCATTGGGGAAGAAGACCCCCTTTTATAGGCACCCCCAAATCCAATCATTATGTGCACAACCCTCACACAAGCGGTACTATCGCTCATGAGGACGATAATACCGCTCTAGCGGTAGTACGCAGTCTGAATGCACGGGCAGAGTGTCCTGAGACGGTAGTGTCGTCGGAGCGGTACTACCGCTCGCCCTAGTGGTACTACCGCTTAGGGTGCATTAGAAAGGCACAAGCGGTAGTAGGAGGAGTACAACCGCAATTGCACTGCCGCCCTACTTCCATGAAGGGGCAAACCATTCCAGAAGACCTTGTGTAAGCGGTAGTGGCAACGGTAGTGAACGGGCGGTAGTCCCGCTCTACAGCCGTGGCACTTCCGCTTATGTTCAGGAGCTACATCGAGACCAGCGGAGGTGGGGTGGTAGTAGTGGCGGAAGTACCACAAGAGGTACTACCGTTGAGCGCGCAGAGGCAACGAAACACCGCGATTACGCGCTAGTATCCGCGGAACTAGATCAGCGGCAGCACCACACAAGCGGTACTGCCGCTACCCGGAGCGGTAATACCACTGGAGTGCTACAAAGAAGCCCAAGCAAAACAGATGGATACAATAAGACCTGAATTGCCATAACTTCTGCAAATGAGCTATGAATTGAGCAAATTCAAGCTTGTTGGACAGATGACGACAAATACCATCCATCAGAGAAGAACTGGCATAAACTCCCACATCAAAAACATCATAGAAGATGCATCTGAACTCCGTTTTCGATGAACTCGAACTTGTCATGAAGATGACCATAAGCTCCTATTCTCACATAGAGAAACACCAAACAAGAACTGAGAAAAATGATGCAAAGATGCAATGGTGTGTGCTCTCTATAAACAATACGATAAGGCTACTCACTCGAGAGCCCCCCTTGATAGTATGGCAATTGATCCTACACCTCGGTCTCCCAGCTACCACCATAAGACCGGTAAAATAGAAAACATATCAGGGGCAAATCTTTGCCTTGCATATAGTTCACTTGAGCTAGATGATGACGATCTTGACTTCCTAAAGTTGGACCATCTTTCTTGATTGCGTTGGCTCGATGAAGACTAGTTGATTGCTCCCCCATACTCTACTCTGGGTGAGCCACTCTTCGGCACATCTTCACAAGTCCATTGTCACCACAGTGGACAGCAAGCTTCAAGGAAGTGATCTCTTCGTGATGCTCCACTTGAACTTGCATACCGCAACCTAACCCTGCATAGAACTCTAGCTTAGACCATGGGGTAGTACACAAAGCATAATGGACAATGCTTACCATACCATGGGATCACTTGATCCCTTTCGACACATCTTCCATGCTTTGTGTGTTGATCAACTTAATTCACACTTTGACTTAGTCTTGATCAATCTTGTATCATGTCTTCTACATGATAAATCTTTGGATAATTCCACCTTGACCATCTCATAAACTCCTTTAAACCAACAAATGAACTCCAAGATGGACAAATCCTTCAAATACAAGTCAAGGCAACCATCAGTCCATAGAGAATGTCATCAATTACCAAAACCACACATGAGGGCACCATGCTCTTGCACCTGGTACTACATTCGTCCTGGTTTGTTGGTCTCCTTAGTATTTTGTGTCAAACTTTGATCATAGATTTAACTGAGAAAATAATAATGCATGTAACCAAAA